CTACGTTTATATGTGTAAGGAAGGTGCTCTGCAAATGGTAAATGCAGGAATGGGTAATATTTGGAGATACAAGCATATGTATACAATTGTTTGAATTTTAATCCAGCCTGCATCCTTTATTTTTAGACTGAGATTGGCTGAGACAGACTGTTTTACACAATAAATCAAGATATTCAGAAAGCAGAAAATCCTTCAATTGTTACACTGCACACCATTGCCAAATGTGTCAAATTTACAGCTGCTAAGTCTTTGGATTTGCCTTGTTGCAAAAATATTGTTTTATGTCTGTCAAATTATGTTGTTTTGGGAATTCAGCTAAAGAAATGGGAACAAATGGTGTATTTTTGTGACAAGCTGCCAGTAACAAAGTGCCTAAAGACAAAGTTGTCTATTGCAAAGTTGTCTTTTAAATGTAGACAGAACACTGGTTCATCCCTTGAAGTAGGTGTCTTTTTAATGTTTGAAAGCCTTCAGAAAGCCTAGGTAATCTTTGATCAAGACCACTGTAAAGATTTACAACAATATCTTGCTTCTTGGGGAAAAATATAAAGAAATGAGGACTGACACTAGTATTTTAAAGTTCTTCACTCACCCCAAGTGGAAAAAAACGACTCCCTAAAAAACTGCAGAAGGTTAATTTTTTAATAGGGTGGATATGGTTGTGGAAGAGATGGAGACAGTTTGGGGCGAAGTGACTGTATTATCTATGTGAAGAGTGGGAAAGAGGGTGGGTAGGGGGTCCTTTCCAGACTCACTGGAGCCTTGTTGTAACAGCCTCATTGAGACTGAATGGGACGTCTTAATTACTCAAGTTGTGAAAACTAAAGGAGGGCTGGACTGCAGGGAGGGGAGGATGTGTGCTTTGATCTTCGGGTTGAGGGAGGTTGATATGAGGTGGGATGTCTTCTATAAATACAAGCAGGTTGTAGATGAGGTAGTCATAATTCTCCAAGCTTCAGGACAAACGGATTCCTCCTCAGCAGCCATGAATGGACATTTTTCTATTGAGTGGATGGCCCAGAGCAGCCAGCAAGAAGGATCAGAGACCAGCACCATAACTGTCTCCGGACCTACAGCCTGTGGGACGCTTTCTGAGAGTCTGCCTGGTTTTTATTGCAGGCAGAAGTCAGAGAATATCCCTAAGCAGAAAAAGCAAGAAAACAGGAGTCAGGCCCTTGAAGCATACAGCCAGAGTATTCTCCATCAACAACCCGCTCCCAATAGCCAAGGTAAGAGTTCATAATGAGCCAAAATCCCAGACTCCAATTTCAATGTAAAGTCTATTTAAAAGTGAATTACAGAAAAAAGTGCATTTACATTAAAACAGCTATTAGTTCTGTGTAAATGTGCATTTTGAATTTTTTTCCTAAACATAACTTCACATTTAACTACATTTCAGCTGAATGCAAATATGAACATCTCAGAGAACATCGATCATTTTTTTAAATATTTTTTTTAATTTTAATTTTTTACGTTTTCATTGCATATTAGCGCTCCTGGGTACACAGTTACTTTAGTTGTCTTAATTATTTGATCTTTTTTTTTTTTTTAAATCTTATTTACTTTAGTAGAAAAAAACCATTTATGCAGCTTTATTGTTATTAGAGTACTTTTTACCTAACTAATATTCGTGTATTAATTAGAAGAATATAAGTTGATAAATGTATCAGTGATGCAATGCAGATGTGTTTCGTAACCTATAAATAAACTGCAATAAAAACTTGGACATTTTTATAGCTGAATTTCCATCCAGTTAACAGTATGTGGTTAAATACTCTGAAATTAATAAAGTGCTTTGTAAACTACTCAAGTAAAATACCAGAATATGTCTAAATCGACGTAATGTGAACAACAGATTTTAAGTTTCTTTCTTTCTCACTTTCTGTTTCCAGTGACTGAGGTTGGTTTCAGCAGTGGGACAGAGGAGGAGACCTCAGGATATGAGAGCGAAGGTGGACAGTCTCTCTCCCCTTCAGCTCAAGCCGTCTCAAAATCACCTCCATCTCCTCTAGTGGGTCGGAGGCCCCGGACAGCTTTCACAGCAGAGCAGATCAGTAGCCTGGAGAAGGCTTTCAGCATAAGTGCTTATCTGGGGACGCAATCTAAGGCAGAACTCCGCAAAAAACTCCACCTGTCTGATAAACAGGTAACCACCCCCAGTATCAATACTTGACATCATGAATTCATGAACCTGGTGCTGCTGGATATTCAATTTATGATAAATCTATAATAATCAGAAACAGCAGCAAATTTCAAAAAGAAACTGCCAAGAGATCAGCTCTCATGAGCACCTATATGATAGCAGCATGTACTATTTTTAGCAGTTAAAAAAATAATTAGTACTCTAAACTAATCATGCTCTACTGTTCACTAACAGAAAATTAACATTACTTATGTTTTATTTCATTATGTCTTGTATTTTAAAAATGTTTCTTATATCTTAAATTTTCTGTTTTCATCACAGATCAGAAACTGGTTCCAGAACAGACGGATGAAGGTAAAGAGAACCATGCAGGATGCTCTGGCTCAGGCATGCCAGGCTAATGTCTGCCAGGCCAGTGTTGCCCCACAGTTCATTCATTACCCTGAGCTACAGGCATACAGGCCAGGGCCATACCCAAGATACCACTCAGCAGCAGCAGTAGCACCTGAGGGCCCGGCTGCCACCTCCTACATCTATCCACGCAGTCATGTGCAGTTCAGTTCCCCTCTGCCCAGCGTCACCACTCTGCCCATGGACTCTTTCTACCAGTACAGCAGCCTCTCAGGAGTCATGGTGCCCTCTGCCACATCTCACCTCAGAGAGTCCTACCCAACTTATCCTCCATATTACTGAAAATCACATACAGACATTCTTCTGTAATGTAATCTCAGCTGTGATATTTTAGACAAAGGGAGAAGTTTTTGATTTGATTTTTGAATAAAATAAAATGCGTTATTAGAAACATGGCAAAAATACTGCTTTGAAGCTTGAATCAAGAATCAAACAGGGCAGTGTGCAATAACGTCTGTTTGTAATTCATGTATAGTTTGAATGTAATTAAATTTCATTTTTTAAATTTCTGTTGTTATGTCACTGTTGGATTTATGTCAGTGTAAATATTATTCAAATAAATAATAACGATTAGATTCTTATCAGATTATCTGATCTTTTTTTCTCATCTAACAGTCAAACATTTAATTCAGTTTAATTTTGCGTATACAAAGCCACTTCACACCAACCATTTCATTTTCATTCAGTTTTATTTAAATAGGATGGCATGCAGTGGCTAGATTAAAATAAAAGACTCAAAGCAGACCTAAGTAACGAGGAGGACTTTCATTATAAGCACCAAGAGTGACCTTCGAGGCACTTTATATTGTAGGGTGACATCCTATAATATTAGAACTATTTGATGACCAACAGTGACTTGGGGACAATAGGAAAGACATCCTGGCTGTTTCTCCCTGGTTAATCTTTGAGGTTCTTTCCTATGGATCTCAGCTGATTATTAAGTGGTATCTATTTGTGTGCGTGTTCCCCCTATTTTTACCCTCTGCCTTAGAGGGAACATTCTCTGCTCTGTGGGTTAAGTTCCTGATAACTCCAGGTTTGTGTTTCATTGTGTAGTGGGAGTTAAAGAATGTGTACATGTCTTTTGTGAGTTTGTTTTGAATTGTATACAAAATGTATAGCAGGCAAGAGCAATATGTTAAGAGTTGTAAAATACTGAGCCCTTTGGATTTTTTGCTCTTTTTAAGTATTGATTTCTGAGCAGACCATGGCTAAAATAGTCCTAGCCTATAGCCTATAACTATTTTATAGCCTATAGATATTTTAAGAGAGGATTCAGGGTCACTTGATGCAGCCTTAACTATATGCTTTGGCAAAATTTAAAGACACCACCAGAATTCCTACCCAGACTGTCAGAGTAGGGCCACATAAAAACAAACAAACAAACTATGGTTTACTTATTTCAAATGCTTAAGACTGCCACGACTTGGATGACTGAGACCCAGTTACAACAGGGATGTCAAACACATGTTACATAATGGGCCACATACAGCCAACTTTGATTGTGTCGTAAAATGATATGACAAATATGTAAGATTGCAGAAAAAGTTATGATAGTGCTTGCACAGGCCGTCCCGTGATTATAAAATATGAAGTTCATTTATTGAGAATTCACCAAAAAACAAACTGTTATTTACAACAACAAACATCAAACATCTCTTAATCAATAACTTTGGCAAAGTATGAATGGCAATGCGGTGAACAGTTAAAAGTTTCAAAATCTTTGCATCCGTTACCATTTTCTAAAGCTTTCCAGTGGGGTGGATTAGAGTCTTTGTTTAGGATTTATACTGACATCTTCTGGCAGGTCCGGGAAATGCAATAACAATGGAGTAAATGAAACATTCAGACATGACAAGCTGCTGTAGAGTAGAATTCACCATTATTATTTTCTTCTTATTCTCCATCTTCTCTCTGTTTTCTTTTCTTTTCACTCTCACCTCCCTCCTCTTAATTCTCCCCTTCATATTCTTTTCTCTTGTTCCCCAGCCTTCCGTTTATTCCTCTTCACCCCTTGTTTCTTCTTTCTTCCCCCCTTGTTTTCCAAAGTCATTCTTTGCTATTTTATTTTGTTGGTGTAACATAAGTAAGAATGTGGATGTTGAACAGTTGTAATGAGGTATTGTTCATTTTATGTAAAATTGTGCACACAAAACATGTAATCTACTTATCAAGGGTAGTGTATTTTCACAGACTTGTGAAACAACATGAGATCCATCTCAACAAAGAACGATTATTATTATGTGGTGTACTGTACTAGTTTATCTAGCTATTTTTCACATATATAAATAGGTTGGAAATGTCCATTTCGAAATTTAACTAAAATGCAAAAGTATAATTGTGAAAAAAAAAACCCAGATTTCATCATGTTCTAACCAAGACGATTTCACAATCGGGATTAAAAAAGTTTTACAAGACGTAAACGGAACTTCAGTCTGAACCAATAGCTAGAGAAAAATATTACAGGTGGGCACGGCTTACAATACCAGCGGACCAATAGGAATGCCGTAATCGTGTGAACTAGTGAAACAGGCAGTTAGTTGGACCAATCACAACGTCCCCCGAAGGGCACCCATGATGCACGGGAAGGAGGCCCGCGCTGGCTGAGTGCACGCAGAAAGCAGCTACGCAGGAGAGAGGGGCAGAAGCCGAATGGTGGAGCTGAAGATGGCGGATGGCGACAGCGGGAGTGAGCGCGGAGGTAGTAGCGGGGGAGGAGGTGGAGGTGGCTTCCAACACTTCCACAGGGACCAGGAAACCCAAGAACTGGCGTCAAAGCGTCTGGACATCCAGAACAAGCGCTTCTATCTGGACGTCAAGCAGAACAACAAGGGCAGGTTCATTAAAATCGCCGAGGTCGGGGCTGGGGGCTCTAAAAGTCGCCTGACCCTCTCGCTGTCAGTTGCGGCGGAGTTCCGTGACTATCTCGGGGATTTCATCGAGCACTACGCCCAGCTGGGCCCTAGCAGTCCGGAGCAAATAGCACAAGCTACCGCGGGTGAAGACGGTGGGCCGAGGCGAGCTCTTAAGAGCGAGTTTCTTGTCCGGGAAAATCGCAAGTACTACCTGGACTTGAAAGAGAACCAGCGGGGGAGGTTCCTCCGGATACGGCAAACCGTAAACCGCGGACCTAGCTTTGGAGTGGGGGGCCCAGTGGGCGGCATGCTGGCCGGCCAGACCATAGCCCTTCCGGCACAGGGGTTAATAGAGTTTAGAGACGCCCTTGCTAAGCTCATAGATGATTACGGGGGAGACGACGAGGAGATGACCGGGGGCATGGCCGCCGGGGGCTACGGCGAGCTTCCCGAGGGCACCTCCATCATGGTGGACTCTAAACGGTTCTTTTTCGACGTTGGGTCCAACAAATACGGCGTGTTCCTGCGCGTGAGCGAGGTTAAGCCGAGCTACAGGAACTCTATCACCATCCCGTTCAAAGCCTGGAGCAAATTTGGAGGAGCTTTCTGCAGATATGCAGAGGAGATGAAGGAGATCCAGGAGAGGCAGAGGGATAAAATGTACGAGAAGAGAGACGAGTCCGAGGGGGACGATGTGGATGACGACTGAGAAAAGAAAAAGCTATCAGCCAAGTTACATGATGGCAGATCTACACTATAGGGTTATTTTGCGAAAAAACAAAAACAAAACAAAAAAGAAGCAGAAATGACAGATAAAGTGCATGACAAATCGTGCTGTAATAGCCTACTAAAGTATTGTGGAGTTTTAAAAAAAGAAGTACATGTGCAGGGAATTTTTGGTGTATTATCCTAAAGTTTGTTGGGCTTGAGGTTGAAGTGGTGGTTTGAATTTCTGAAAGTGAAAATGTACGGATGAGATGTATGTCATTGGCTGAAAAAAAAAAAGTGAGTTATGCTTTATCGTTGGAAAAAATAAGAGGAGCAAGTTGGTTTTTCATAACTAGAGGTGAAGCCATTGAATGCTTTCCTATGTGCAACATAGTTTCTATTTAAAGAGTGAAGACCTGTTCAAGATGTTTTCCCTTCTTGGTTAAAGGAGAGAGCTAGCATCCATCCTGTTCCAGTCCAGGACTCTCCTCTGTGGGAAGTTTGCGGGATTTTTGCAAGTCAGACAGGAAAAGCTGAGAGCAATGCAGAGACAGAACTGCTGTCACTCTATGGATTTTATTTGTTAGATATGTCAGCAGCTGGAGAGCTGTCAAACAACCGCACAACTGCTGCTGCAGCATCTGCAGGCTGTTAATCGAAAAGATTACCCAAAATGACCGGGGGGGGGGGGTGTTACTAAGAGGATTATCTGTAAGCCCAAACAAAAAGGGCCTGGTGGACTAAATTAAATGCTTTGACTCCAGTAGTCAGTTACAGTGCAGAACAGCTGGGTTTTATGTTATACATATAATCTTAGCAAAGCGTACTTCTTATTGTTTTGAAGAAGATTCACTCTGTGAGGAAGGGTGGTGACTCTTCTCACACCAGAGCATCCTTGGTGTTTGAGAACAACCGCTTGGAACTGGGGAGCAGATGCCACCGGAGGAAACACAGATATTGTTTTATGGGACTTTTCAGACGATCATTTGCTAACAGGGGTCCAAATGTCTTGCAGTTGGAGGAGGAGTGCTGCATTACATGTAGCGACAAGTTTTCTCATCAGCCTCGTATTCAGAACTGGACAGCTGGCCTATTCAGCCACAGGCCATTCTCTGACAGCACCTTCCAACACATTATGAAGACCCTGGACAGAAACACATTGATGGATGTTTTCTTTTGTTTTTCCTTTTTTTGTTTCTTTTTCCCCCCAAAAAGAGCTATATTGAAATGAGATTCTACTTGTAGGAAAGATATTACCAAACAAACCAGCAAAAGATATTTTCAGATACTTATTAAGGAAAACATATTTCAATCCTAAAAATAAAAAGTTAATTTCTTAAAAGAGAATTGTGACTCGATCTCAAGGTAATTTTTTCATGTTCTTAGAGTGAAAGTATAACACTTCATTTATTAAACAATTTGAAATGAAAGACTCGATGTTGTGACTGTGTACTTGAAATCAGGTTATTCATTTTGCAGACTAATTGGGTGAATTGTTTATTTTCTTGGTTAAATACGTACAAGAACAGTCTGAGACTGCATACATCTTCCTGCAACATTTTACCTTTTCAAGTTATGTAAGTGTTATATTATTATATAATTATATAAAGATGTCCCAGACCAGCGTAAGAGTCCATGCGCAGCAGATGTCCATCTAGAGACCAGGCCACCAGGCTATGACTACACTATGCAGTTTCTCTTCCAGTGCCACACCGGTCTACCCACTCAGCTAGTTCTGCTGGATATTTTTTGTATATGGCAAAAAATGCCCACTTTTGCCTTATGTCACAATGGTGAAGAATCTTTCCACAAATCCAGGTCTGATTCACCCCCCAAAATGAATCATTTTAATACTAGTAAAACATTAAATTTCCCTGTCTTTTTATTTAGTTATTTATAATTTTAAGTAATTCTAAATCAAATAAGATTTTGTTTTATTGTTTAGAAATTGCTTTATTATTTAGAATGCAATTTCTGGTCAATACTGTCAATATTCAAAATAATGAAAACGCGATTTAAAACAGAAAAATGCCAAAATAAAACCTTTTGGCTGATATATTGACCTTAAAGAGTATAATTCATTCCAGCAATATCACCTAATGCAGATGTGATATTGCTAGTGATTTATCAGTCCAGCAAGATACAGTTTGCATTCATTTAAGAGGTTCATGTGACTATTAAAGTGATGACACCTATTAGTTCTTTACTTATTAGGACTTAGTTCACATGTGCAGGTAATGTTTACTCTCATTATTTACTGGCATTTATTATATTATTATTAAACAGAACTATCTATTTTAAAAAAGAAACAGCTCTGTAAATATCTGATTAATGTTCTGTCGATGAGTTTCACTTTTAAACTACTACTTGGCACCACTTTGAGCTTCATTTCATACATTTGGTTTCATTTGGTTAAAACCACATTTGACATTTAAGAGTACTTTTGAAATCCATATTTACTTTGGCGAACTTAAAACCTTTACTTCAGTCCCTTAAGTTACAAACTAACATACAACATGAACAATGTAATTATACAACTAGTTCCCATTTGCTATTTTACAGACATAAACCTTTGTAGGAGTTGGATGACCTACTACTCATTGGCATTTAGGTTTGATCACTGATGAATAATTCATCAAAAATATCTTCTGGTTCAAGCTGCTGATGTGACACTTTGGTTTCCTTTGTCATAAATGCAAAGGGTTAAAACATTTAGCACTTCTGACTGGTTAAAACACAGTCACTGAAGCTTTCTTTTTTAAACAAACCATATCAACTATTTTGTTCTTGGATGTTCAAAACTTAAACTTTGCTGCCTTTCAGACAAGAAAGAAAAGAGTTTAAGACAAACAGAAATGAAAAAATAAACATATTTCATCATTTAATTCAATTTAAGGTACCGTATTTGCACTTATATAGCATTTCTAGTCTTACTGACCATTCAAAGCTCTTTAGACTTCAAGTCACATTTTTGACTATACAGCACTTTATCTAAGTCACATCCATGGCTAATTCAAAGTCATCAGTTAATCTAACATATTTCTTTTGAATGTGGCAAAAACATGCATGATAGGTTAATGTAATTAGTATGTCCACATATTGGAAATGTGTATTAATGAGAAATGACACAGGTGAAAATGTCGCTATCCTTTATTTATTCAGGCAAAAGAGGGCAGCAGAAGTTACAACATATAACAAGTAGAAAACAAGCACATAATTCTGTACAGACAAGTGAACACAAACATGTGAATAAGATGCAATATAGATCATTACAAGCGTGACATTAAAAACAGTCACACTGACCAAAAGAGATATTCTCTTGCTCTTTTAAAAGGGATTTAAAAAATTGCATAAATCAAGTGTTCCCAAGGTTGGAGAGAGAAAAAAAATCTAAAATCTAAATCTAAAAAAGAAACTTAGTTTAACCCCAAAATGATAGCTAGACACCTGTAAAATGTGACTATTTCAATTTCAGCCCCTTGAAGGGTTTTGAGTTTAGGACGTGTAGATAGGTGTCAATAGCACCTTTAGAAAATGATTTACTTTAAAAATTGGTGACATTTTCAATACTGATCGTACTTGCACTATGTGATTAAGTAATTGCACCCTTGTTAAATCACAAATGCACTATTTTGAAACTACTATCACTAAGGGTATCCACAGTAGGTTGCTACTGTTTCATTTGACAGTAATATGCCAGATGCCCTTCCAGACAGACAAAATCACTTAAATACAACCTGTCAGCTAAAAGATCTTAAAAAGTAACACATCATGCTGTGATATAAAAAAAAACCCTCAAGAACAGATGAGAAAAGCTTTTACAGCCTTGGGAATCCAACAAATCCAGGGAGAGAGCCAATGTTCCCTCTAATTTTTCATGTGTCTGAGCGAACACACAAACTCCCTGAGCGATCCCTTGGACCACTGTGAGCGACATCAGACGTGTGCACTGTGGTGATGCCAGCATCGAATCCATCCAAGTTACATGATTTATTAAAATCAAATCAAATCACAGCAGTTACATTTATGTTAGACTACCTTTATTTAACTACTTTAGCCCACGTACAATGAAAATGTAAAAAAAAAATCTAGTCATTGACATGTTAAGACTATTGGAAGTAAAAATAACTTGAACTCCAATTTCGAAAACACAACTTTCTTTCTTTTTTCTTTCTCTCTGACTTGTATTATGAGTCTGTGGTCTGGGAGAGAGTCCTGTAACTCTGTCTGCAAAATACAGTATATAATGACCAATGTTGGGCAATTAATTATATAGTTACTTCTTCAAAAAAGTAACTGAGTTTAGCAAACAACAACGTTTTTTGCAGCTATTTTTTTTAAATGCAGCCAATGCATTTTTAAATAAACATTTCAAACTATTTACAGAACAATCAGCTGTTCTCCATCAAATCTGATGCCACACAAATTATTTGTGCCACTCCAAAAAAAATGAGATGAAGGAGAACAACAGCCTGATACCTGCAGGCCTGACAACAGGAGATGTATCACTGCTGTAACACCTGTAACATTCAGCAGTCGCCTCATTGTTCTGACACACACAACAAAACTATTGACTACACTACACACTAACTACACAAGATTTGACAACTCTGGTTTTACGTGGCCTATCAACACAAGTTAAAAACTGGTATAAAGTCCACACTTTTCCCGTCAATTGTTCCGTCTGTCCTGCTCACATCTCCAGTGGTTGTACACGTTGTCATTAACATGGCTTCACTCCACATCAGCCACGCCGCTTTGCCAGCTAAAACACCGGTGTCGGCACATAAGGACGCTGTCATAGCCTGTCAACCACATTGATTGGCTGCGTATATACGAATGGGAATCGCATTATTGGCTGGGCTATGGGATAAGGTGGCATCGTTCTAATCCCATACGGGAGCAGCCAAAACAGAAATTGTTAAAGTATTAATTTTAATTTCAATTCAGGTTAGATTTTTTTTTTGCGCAACGCAGATTTTCTGTGCGCAGAGACCGCGCCAGCAGTGCGCAATTGTGCACGTGCGCAGCTTAGAGGGAACATTGGTGAGAGCCATTATCCACAACTTGAGAAGACTCGGAACAGTGGTGAACCTTCCAGGCCTATAAAAATACTCCAAAAACACATTAGTTCATCCAGGAGGTTAAAAACAAAACCAGAACAACATCCATAATACTACTGAACTCATTCAATTTAAGGTCAGGTATTTGTGATTCAATAATAAGAAAGAGACTTGGCAAAAATGGCATCCATAGAAGAGTTCAAAGAAAAAAGGTGCAACTGACAGAAAAGAACATCTTACATTTCACAAAAACATCTTTATGATCCTGAAGACTTTTGGAAAAATACTCTGTGTCTGAACTTTTTTGAAGGTTGGATTCAGGACCTGGACATGGACCTGGGTTATGTAGCAGGACAATTATCAAATGTATAACCTCCTCCCAAAAATGGGAGCACCCAGAAATGAGAGTTGGAAGCAGAGGTGCAGTCCTACAAGCCTCTCTGCAGCTTCTCTACTCCTATTGTCCCCCTAAAACCCAGTGTCCATAGAGACCAATAAAAAAAATCAGCATAAATGATTTAAGCATAAAGAACAATACATCTTCAACAGCAGTAAAGATTGGATTGTAAAACATTAAGTATCTCTCTTCTTTGTTAGTAAATTATATAATAATTGATCAACATATTGATATATTCTGCCTTACAGAGATCTGGGTTGAGCAAGATCATTATATTAATTTAACTGAAGCAACACTTCCAAGTCCAATAATGTAAATATGTAAGAAAAATTGTGTATGTGTCTGTTCTGTGTCCTGTGTACTCTTTGTTTGTATATGTGTCTTTTGGCTGCTGTTACAACCAAATTTCCCCTTGTGGGACAATTAAAGGATTATTCTATTCTATTCTATTCTATTCTATTCTATTCTATTCTATTCTATTCTAAGTCTGCTGGGGGCTTCCCATAATGCACTTAGCATTTCTCCTCCAATCACTTTTCTTCACTGTCCATGTATTTATATATTACTTTGCATTTAAGTATTAACTATTATAAATCTATGGCTCTCTTCCACAGTGTATCTTTTATCCTGTCTGTTTTACCTCACTCCTAACTCCTCATGGCAGATGGCTGCCCTTCCCTAAGCCTGGTTCTGCTGGAGGTTCTTCCTGTAGAGTTTTTCCACTTCGATGTTGCCAAGTGCGTGTCTTTATTAATCACTGTGTAAATCATAAGATTATTGTGTTGTGTAGAAGTATACAGCTGAATTTGTTGTCAGATGTAAATATTTTATTGATATGTGTGTATATAACAGCACCCCCCCCCCCAATTTTTGTTTCTGAGAAAAATGAGAGCCACATATAAGGATATTCATTTGAAATTTCGATAGAACAGTTGCAGTTTGATAGAACCCCAGTTGGACGCCAGGTCCT